TACCCCACAAACCCTCCATAACTTATCCCCACTAAACTGAGTTTCCCCACCGAGTTGGCCTCCATGACCCGAATCACACACTCAGCCTGAAACCACTCGGTCCTCTCCGGCCGAGTGGTGAACGAGTTGCCGAAGAAGATCAAATCCGGCACATAGACATTGAAATGAGCTACCAGGCCGCGAATCACATCCCCCCATTGCCACAGTGCATTAGCTCCAATGCCATGGATGAGAAGGAGATTGGGCTTTGATTCATTCGGCTTTTTGGGGACCCAGCAGTGGACTATGGTGCCGTCTTTGAGGTCTGTAATGGTGGATTGGAGCCCACATTTGCTGAAACTATAGCGGTGGCACCAAGTCTTGGTCTCTATGAAACTGAAGCACCTTGTCATTTTAGGAACTTGAAAGAATCAGAATCAATGGAGACTCTGCTTTCCGGAACCCAAAAAGAGTGGAGCGAGTGAATCACTGGCCATGGAGTTCGAAAGAGGAAGCGTCTACCAACAAGTTTCTGTGGAAGAAGATGAAGATATGGTGATAGAAAGGGGTTTTTGAAGGAACGAAAGAGCAATTGGAAACTGAGGAAAGATCATTTACTGTGAGAATTTGGAGGAGAAAGCCTTGGCTTTCAACGTGATAAACATGGGCTGATTGCTGAACTGTCCGAATCTATGGCCATACTCCAATGTCTGATTTTATTTGTTAGTTTTTTAAATACTTACAAATTGTCAATTTTTCTCCTTCAAGTAATCACTTCTTTTCTCTTTTCGCTGTTCTTTCAACCCTTTGTAGAGCTGATTAGTGGGCGGGTGATGATTTCTCCGATTGGTTTCGAGTCAAGTTTTGCTCGTAGAAATCAATCAACTGAACTGAAGAGTCGAGTTCCGTGTTAATGGAAATTGAAATGTTAGCCGTTCATAATATCGATGGCTATCAATTAATGGGTGAGAATCTCTGTTATCCTTCGTTTTGTTTTTTCTTCTAAGAGTTCAACTTTTTCCAACTTCAATGAATTGAAAATGGGTTTGTGGCTATTATTTTATTTCGCTGGAATTTTACTAATGGATAATTTCAGGGTTAGCCCATCTACCAGTTGGTGGCCCTAATGGGAGATCCGATGGGTGGCCAAGGAGTCTCCATTCGTGATTTTTATCCTCACTGAGCTACAAACTACGCTTAGAATGTGATTTTTGTGAGGTCAAGTCTATGTTTGATCTTAATTTTGTAAGCTTGGAAATTTTACCTTCTTGGGTACGCATCCATCATCTTTAAATTTGTCATTCTCGTCTACACATGGGAGTGCTTTCGTGTACGCAAGAAAGTAGGATTTTAGGAGACAGACAAAACATGAGACACAGAGAAGGTTGGTACTTTTTGTCTAAATTATTTATGGAAGTTTGAGTTCATGTTTCGCCATGGTCATGTACTTCATACTCATTCTGAATATTGACAAATCTACCAAATAAAAAATGTTAACAGTATATATCAATTTATGATTTATTATCTATTTTATGAATTTGTGATGCTAAGATACTTGTTGATGGATGTATGTTAAGAGTGGCGGCAAGAGTTTAAGAAAAGAAAATATATTAAAGTAAGATTAGGCATGAGATAGTGAAGGGGCCTTTTGAGGAAATATAACAGAAAACAAATAAGATCATTAAATTAACAGAGACGAATGTAAAAGTAAAGAATTTAACCGGACATAACAAGTGTTGAAAAAGAGTAATATTTAGATACATATATCTTATACCTATCACCATTATCACCATTAAAATTGATGAACCCAACCCATCACAAGTAATGATATATTAACTACTTTTAATTTAATTCATTATCTAATTTTTGCAAACTCACTCAATAATATTTGAGGTTTTTTTTAGTATAATTAGTGGGGTTGAGAGATTTGAACTAGGTAAGCTTATTTGAAACCTTTTTCTTAACTTTGTTAAAGCATAAAATATTAAATTAAAAAATACTCAAAGATTAACTAAATCATATATTTAATTTAAGCTTCCAAAAATTATAAAGGATGGCAATTTTGTAAATGTTGAGCCATCCCATCCCACCCTTTTGTAATTAGGAGGAAAACCGAGAAACCCGATCAATAAAACCGAACCGAAATAACTCAAGTTCGGTTCGGTCCTATTAGGCGAACCGCTCGGTTTTTACTTTGGCAAAAACTCGAGCCGAACCGATTTATACCCTACATTGGTGACCGGCTACTACTATCGAGTGCCGCTTGATTGCTGCGATACCTAACACAGAGCAGGAGGAAGACGAAGACGAAGACGAAGACGAAGAAAGGTGAAAAAGATGAGGCTACTGACCCACAACATGATTTCATCCAACATCAAGGGCGTCGCCAATGGCTTCCCTCTCCGGATCGAGGTCGAGAAAGTGGTCGAGAAGCAGGTCGATTTCAATCCAGATTTCCTCAGGAACATGTTCTCCAAGATCGAATGGAAACCTCTCGTCGACGCTTCTCGGGCTCTGGGCTACGCCGACCTTCCCGACGAGGCCGAGTCGTCCATGCTCGACTCCGATGACTTTCTGCAACGATTCCACCACGCCCTTCTCGAGCTGCATCTCGAGGAGGGCGCTCTTGTTTGCCCGGAGACCGGCCGCCGATTCCCCGTCAATAAGGGTATTCCCAATTTGCTCCTCCACGAAGACGAGGTCTGAGTTTATATTTTACAGTTTATAAATTCCTCCATGTTAGGGTTTTACTGGACCAGGCGCAGGTTTGTCAAGAATTGGAAAATTAGGGTTGTTTTGTTTGTTGGCCATGGATGGGATTAATGGATCTCAGATCTTTGTTACTATAAATTTTGACTGAATTGTATTTTGATGGGTGGGAAGAAAACTGCGTGGAAAGAGTTGGCAAAATTAGTGTACTGATAAAACTCAATGTTGTTTGGTTTCTTCCTTTCATTTTGTGGATCAATTTTGAGATCTTCCTTTTAGAATTTGTCAGTTGATGAATGCTATCGGCTTGGCTTTAAGAGTCATCAAAATCAGCCATATTTCTGAAAGACTTCAAGACGGTATTTACTCACAAATTTGATTTGTATACATATTTTTTTTTTGCATAGGGATTTAATGTATATATTGTGTTTGTATATGGCTGTGAACTACATTTTGGTAGATTCATGATTTGAGGTTAAATTATAAATTTGATCTTCTAAAGGGGTTTTTTTTTTGGTTTTGTAGCTTGATTTCACTCAACTCTTTCTAAAAATTAAGTTTTACCCGATTGTATTTATTTGGTATTTTTATATTTTTGTACCTGATGGCACTTGATTCTGTTTATATAAAAAAAAAAACCCATGTATTTGGCAAATGGGTAAAAGAACGAAAAGTCGAAGACTAAAAAAATTTGAAATTGCAGAGATTAAATGACACAAATTAAAGGATGAACTTTTGTAGTTTAACATAAATATAATCATCTAACAACCTGACCAGACATCTCTTACAACTTTAATTTAAAAAGCGATGAATGCAAAAACCATCAATTAATCTCTCACTGTGGGAAAGTATTCATCTTCGTATGAATCATCTAGTCAAATGATTGAATGCTAATTCTATATCAAGTATCTTTAACCTTAACCACCTAAATATTACAATATTATTATAGAGAATGAAAATTCTTGGCCAAATATACACATATTTGGCACCCTAAAACCCAGAGATCCAAGGCCTGTCTCAGTGCTGCTTGCTATTTGTGCAGCGCGGGGTTTCACAGGGGGGAGGAGGCACGCCAAAAACCCAATCAAGAACGTTCAAGTACTTGGATCGAAATACCTCTCTTTCCTGTGCATAGCAGTGCATTATAATGGCAGTTGATAAGCTGAAAACTATCACATCCGCTCTCTTAAAATTTAACGACTGGGGCAGGTATCCTGCATCTGTCGCGCAGATGAAGAAGCTCTCTATACCTCTTGCAAGGCAGTAGAGTGAGATTTCAATCCGTCTGCTCTTCTTCTCAATGGCCAGAGCCAAACCCGTTAAGAACTGCACAACAAAGAGCATAAAATTTTCAGCATAGGAACAAAGGCTCTCTCTCTACCTGGAATTAATTGAAAGAATAATTGAAAGCCATACCGTTGCCAAAGCAACCAAGGGGATGTTTATTTTCTTGAAAGTCCTCGATGTCAGGCATGTCCACATCCTGAAAGGTAGGTGGAAAACTTGATCTGTTAGAGTCTATTGTTTTTATCTGAGGATTTTGAAGCGACTTGAAAAGCTTTTTGAGAGGTCAAAGATCACATTCAAGTTGAGGCATTTATGTGCAGAATCAAAACCTCCAAACTTGTCTAGTATCTATATTATGAAGTATGGAGTTTCTAAATCACACAGAATGAACAATGTAGTTGCTGATTCCAGATTTTTTCCTAAAATAACTCGATTGGAGTCTGGTCATGGACTTGCTACATTGGACAACCACCCTCCAAATAAATTGGTCGTACTTCTGAAACAAAAGATGAAAAATCTGCTTGATTTGATGACAGCTACTAGTTAATAAACATTAGAACATAACAAAAAAAGTCTGAAAATTTTCCTCTTGATAAAACGCTCCACTTCAAATCATGTGCCCAGAGTGTGTCCGAGTATCACCGTATAGAGCACCAACATTTTACTCAAAGTAGTGTTTATGCCTCATGATACGGTTTCTGGATGGCCAAAGGTAAATTCACAAGCACGACTATATTGTGTTMCCACCTAATTCCTACACTCCGACTAAAATCTATTGCCCATCATTGTTTATACTTGAAAATATATATATATATTTACAAAAAGAATGAATATTTATCAAAACCTTGACAGCAAACATTATAAGACTCCAAGCAACTGGCGCTGGCTTTTCCTCTTTGAAAATAATGATACAAACTAATATATCCTATCTATTAAACTAATATTTTGAGAGGATACTTTATCAAGTTTATTACGTGAAACGAGAAGTTCAGAGAAAAGTGGAGAAGATATAAAGATATAGTAATGATAAAAATGGAAGCCAATGCATTAGATATAGGCGGAAGAAATACTAACCAAGCAGATGAACAGTATAAAGAAAGGAACAAACTTGATCTAGCAGTTCCTAGAAGCCCCCTTGCTAAAATTTCGTTAGGCCTGCAAAAGGTAATAACATATAATTCATGCATCCAAACATGTAGATGTAAATTGATATACAAAACAATGGCTGGAAAAAGGCAGCCAGAAAAAGGAATCTCAATTAGAAAATATATCGTAATAATCCTCAAGGTCAAAATTTAATTCATAAAATAAAGTGCTTAAAAGGAATTAAAATATCATATAAGCCAGGAACTGCATCCTGCCTATTTGAATGTTAATTGTGAGAACATCAATCAGAAACCATCTTCAAGTAGCTTATATCCATTTTCTGAAAATTAATAAGTGGCCCATTTATGACATAATCAGTAAATTAAACAATCTTTCAACCAAAACAAGCTGTGAAAATAATAAGGCCTAACTTCAAATCAGTACTTCTAATTTTAACTCGAGTCAGAGCATTTCCCATGCGAATGAGTCATATAATAGTCAAATTAGAATATTACCTATTTAAGAGATCTTGACGGTGCACTATTAGGGCTGGGACAAGATATACAGGGAGATAAACCGGCAACGCTCTTTTATATCCTTGAATGAGAAAGGAAATAAAATGCCCACCACATGATTGATTTCCATGTATAATCTGCATAAAGAAAGAAAGAAACCTTAGAGTTTGAAACTACTAGCCTTGGCTGAAGCATATGCAGACTGAAAAATTAAAATTAAAAGATAAATGCAGATAATATGAACTGTCTGAATTACATCTCAATTTTTTAAGCAGGGAGGCTCCATAATCATTTCAGGCATGCAGATATCATGTCATAATCACAATGAATGTCCAATACTTGTGAGAGAATAAAATGAACGGGATGGAATCTGGAAGACTGTTCCTAATCCCAAGTAATGAAGAAATAAGTGTAAGGGCTTGGGACGTTTGGAGATTCTCTCCAAGATCTTGGGTGTCCAAGCCTCTGGCTGACATTTTGATAAGTTACAACACTTATTTTCTCTTGGAGCTTGTCTTAGGGTGGGCAAAATGCTAGAGTGGGGTTGCCAATACCCCAAATTAAAAAAAAAAAAAAAAAAAAAAGTTCATGCAGAAATAAGAAACTGCATCCAGTGCCCTATATCTATATAATTCATGTCTAATGCTCTGAAAAGTGCTTTCAGTTTTATAGAACTTACAAATTGTCATCAGTATAGAGTACGTACATGTGGTCTTTGTATATTTGATTGTATTTAGGTAAACAGGATAGATACTAGATAGTTTTTACAGCCATAAACAATTATAAGGCCACAGTTGCTCACAAAAGTTTCGTGTTATTTTGTCTATGATCAGTAGAAGAATCAGAGGTAAACAGAAAAACATATTAAATTTCACTCTCCAGATCATCTATAACAACTGTCTTGAACGTGCATTTAGATTTCCTTGTAGCAATCTATTCACATAGAATCGATATCACGTAACAGCTCTAACTCTGTCCAATTTTCATTCATATAGAAGCACAGACCCTACAATGTTACAACTAGACTTCTTTGGGATGTCAACCGGCAGACAATTGAAAATAACTCAAGATGCTGCTTTCTACAACTAAACTGGGAAATAGGATATGAGTTGGATCAGAACAAAAGTCTGCCTTGAATATCAAATCAGGTAAAAGAAAGTACATTAACGCCTAGAATTGTTGTTTGCTACAATGGTAGATGTTATAATATCTTAGTGCATTTACTTACTAAATGTGCACATCTTTCGTGCAACACAAAAGGAACAACTAAGTATACTTTTGAGAACAAAGAAATTTCCTTATCTTCTCGTTGAATAGAGATTAAACACAGAATAAATAAATATATATACCGTGCATGGGGTCTTCATTTGCAGATCCAATTTGGTGTCTGCACCCATGGCCCTGTAGTACTTTTCTATTACTTCAAATTTATTAGAAGAAGGCATGCCTGATACGAAACTCTTTAAACCTTCCAAGATTACAGTGTCCTTTCCACCATGTGTATTGAGAAATGACCTAAACGATGGTGGTAAGCTATCTTGCTTTAACACATAAGCAGACCTGAAAATAATTATCCTTCTTAACTGTCTGCTGTTATAATCATAATCACTTATTATAGATACTATAAAGAAATAGCAAAAAAATAATTTCATATGTTTAAACACAAAGTACGGTATGTTTGAGCTGGGTGATTGAATAAATGACTAATATATTCCTCCACATATATAGAACACAATGAGAACCATCATTTAGAAGAGGTGAAACACAATAACAAACACAAATTAGCTTGCTATTAGGTTTGGTACTTTAACTTAACCAAACAACGATGAGTTACTCCAATGAGCATAGTGCACAGCAAAATACTTAACAAGGACAACCATTTTGTTATGCACACTTGAGAAGCTTTGTTTATTAGAACTGGCAGAGACAGAACACAAGCGGAATATTAAGAATAAGTTTGTATTAGCAAATAGCATCCTGGTGTATTAACATAGAATAAGTTTTTAGCTGCCGTTTATAAGTTTTACTTTTAACTGTTCGAAGCAGATACCATCCTGGTGCAATAAGATATGAAACACAGTTTTCTCAGCTGCATTCGTTCCAAAAATAGATTTTGTTCGATTGTTACTCTATAATGTATAATTATACAATACAAGTTTCACACCTGTTATGCAGGAAAACAAGCAACGACAGAAATATTATAGAACACTCTAGAGCTAAATTATTTGAATTAGCAGCTTAATATGGTACGGCAGAAATACTTCTTACAAGATCTGCGAAGAGGAGAGACACATAAGGAAGATGTCACCATATGACCACGTGAGAGGCTTACAAATATGCCCAAGCTGCTTGCTTTTAATCCCACAGCGCGATGCCAAGACCGCAGCACGCATAAAAATGTAGATAGCCAAACTCTTATGCTGCGTATTTAACCCAGTCAGGAGCATTGACGGCCCAGCTAATGCTCCCGCTAATAGAGCCCTCCATCTTGCAGTCCTGAACTACAAGAGAACATTCAAACAATCAAAAGGATAACCAAAAAGATTCTAGAAACGGCCAAGATTTCGGATTACACGATCAGAATAGAAAAAAGCATACCTACGATGCCCTGCCAGATTGCCGATTATCTCATCGATGGAAACGAAGGTACCTGCAAAGGTGCCAAGAAAGAGGCCGTATCTCAAAGTCTCCTTCAAAGCCATGGAAATTGCATCTCGATTCGTAATCACTCCTTTCTTCCTAAACAAACCATAAGTTGGTAACATCGTTAGTTTCAGCAAAAAATAAAGGCACGGCACCATGCAGATAAAGTTCACAGCCAATTTCCAAAAAAGCTTACCTGAGAGAGGCCAGGGCCTTTCTCCGCTTCAATCCAGCGAGGATCGAGAAGAGGGAGAGTCCACCTTTCAGACCAGCTCCGATTGTGAAGCCTTTAGCTGAAGCAACAAGGATCCGCCAAAGCTTCCCGGACTCTCTCAACCGCATCGAATCGAACCAAAGAGAAGAGGAAGAGCATGAAAACGCCGGCAAAGAAGAGGAATCCGCCGAACCACAACCACAATGTTGGCAATACGACTCACCAGATTTACAGTTACCAGCTGATTCAACATCCCCATTCTGTCTAGCAACACATGCACATCCGCCGTCGGCGTCGAAGCCTTCGACGGCAGACGGCGACATGATGCTCCGCTAGGGCTTGCCTGAGTGGAAGAAGAAGTGGGAGATCCCAAATGCAGAAGGAATTGGAGGATAAAACAGAGGAGTTCTGTACTAATTTCTTAAGCATGGATTAACGTAAAATGGCCCTGCGATTTTCCGACTCTGTCTTTCACGCCATTTCCTTTCCTTTATCCTTTTTTTGTTTTTTCCCATTTTTAAAATATGTTAAAACTCATCATTTTTGTTTTAATCCTGCTATTTTTAAATAAAATGAATTTAATTGAGTTTGTTGTGTGAGAAGTGTATAATTAATATTTTCGTATTTTCAAACTTCAGATACATTAATTGTCAAAAAAAATAAAAATCAAATACATTAATAAAATAATAATTTAATTATACATCAATTTTATGCTTGGAAATTTGGAAGGGGCAGCTAAGAAGCACATTCTAAGAGCGACAGATGTAGGGAGAGGAGCCAATCAAATTTCCAATTTCAGCTGTTACGTGGCGTCCGGGGAAAATTTCTTCACTGTTCTAAATTAATATTTTATTAAGTAAACTCCACGTAATTTATTAATTAATTATTATACAGTTGAATATAAATTATGGTAGTAGTTGGTAACTTAGAATAGAACCAAGTTTTATTTCGCATACCTAAATAAGAGGTGGGAAATTATTTGGGGAAAAGATATTGGTCGACAAAATGAGGAAAATAAAAAGTTATTATTCAAATATGTACGCTGGGAAAAGAAAAAAAGACATTTTAGAGGAGGGGAAAAACCAAGTGCTTAATACCATAGGATGCAGAGTATAGCATCCAATGAAAATAACCAAGTTTCTCTGCCCTCTGAAACTTTTGCAAATTACTGTACATTTTGAAATTTAATGAGAAACTATGGTTGTTTTTAAATATATATATACACACACAAAGAAAAGTAGAAATTGTCTCAATTTTATTATTGTTTGTTGTTTGATTACGTAAGAACCTGACAACTTGAATATAGTCTTTGTTGTTTGATTACGTAAGAACTTGACAACTTGAATATAGTCTAGTGAGTTAAAACACATATCCAAACCAAAAAAATCACTGGTTCGAATATATATATATATATATATATATATATATATATATATATATAATACAACAAATCAATGGTATGGATTCGAAACTCCAAATTTATGTCAATTATAGCTATGTTGGTAAAAATAATAATAATAAAAAAAGTAATGTTGTCGTGTCAAAAAAAAAGTTATAAATTGTATTATCTCACTTTTTGTAGATGCCTTCTATCTTCTATAAAGTGCATACTTTTTCAAGTATCGGATTCTTATCACGTTTTTTTTTTCATGAGATTATATCTATTCTTTTCACTAAAAAAAAAGTGTACACTCTAAATAAACCTTTATAATAAAAAAAGAATGTAGGAAAAAAATTAAAAGTAAAAATTACCATATGACAAAAGTAATAAATGAATAAACGGACATAAATTTCATAGCTATATCGGCATCATTTAAGAAGTGAAATTCATCAACATTAAATAATTACATATGAAAAATTTTGTCAACTATATCAGCAAAGAATGATGTGAAATTCATTATGAAAAATTTATGATGTAAACAAAGTTGGTAGGTACTCCAACGATATTATAAATTTTCCCCAGGACTGCCTTTAATGTCAGGCTGCAACTTTTGACATCGAAACTGAATTAGTTCAAGATTTGGCAGTCAACCGGTACCTGCACTCAATTGTTTCTGAGGAAGAAAAGAAATATAAGATTCCAACTACACTCATTAATTCCTTGCCTTTCGATACCTAAAAAAGTTACATAATATCAAACATTAATTGGGAGCAAACAACACTACATAATCAGGACTAACATTTTAGATTGACATAAACAAATGATTTTCTTTGAATCCAAATCTTCATGATAAGTACATATCATTGCATTATTCTACAAGTACATGTTTTTGTTACATTGACAATTGAAAATTTGCATGAATGATGGCCATGGGTATATCCGGTTGGCGACAAACCTTTAAATACAGAGAATGGTATATTTGAATTAGTTTGAGAATTGGGTTTGTGTGGAACATTCTTTTCAAAAAGAAGCTCCTGTTGCAGTCAAAATTTGGCAGTGATGGATATGCCCTATGATCAAGAACAAAGTTCAAGGATACAAAAAAAGGAAAAAAAAAATGAATTTTAGGACATTGAATTTGAGGAATCTACTGTACTTCTTAAAGTGAAAGAATAAACAGGGGAAACAAACAGCAATCACTGATTACCATAATGTGGTTATAGTTCAAGGGTATTTCTGATGCTTAACTGTGAACTATGTTGGGCCAACTGATCAGGCACCTCCATACATTCCGTTGTCGTCATTCATTCCACTTTAAGGACAATCTTCATAAACTCATAAACGAAAAAACTTATGGCTGCTGAAGGAAGTACCTGGACGTTTAAAGCAGCGAATGTAAGTAAAAGAAAGAAGATGCTAAGAGAACACAATAGCAAAAGGAAAAGGCTTCAGAATTTTTAACACATAAGCACTAGACAATTCAGAATGGCTACGATATCTGAGGAATGTTTGCCCATCCTACAATTATGAGTTCTTTTGTTTTCTCGCCAAGCAAATAAGAGAAAGGTATATCTGAAGAAAACAGGATCCTGAAAACAAATAAACGCAACAGAACAAGGAGGAAAAATATGTATTATGCCACTGGAGGGGAAGAAATTGGATGTGATACAAACTTGGACTAAATATAATTTAGGAAGCAAAGCAAGTGCAAAAAGTAACTTAAATAGCATAACGTTGTTACATGCGAATACCAATTTTGGAAAATAGGGGTGTGACTCAGTTCAGCACAGGTATTAAACGAGAACTCACTTCAAATCAGTAATAAAATGATCTTCCACAAGAGCTGAAAATGATAATTATGGATAGGTACCACCAAGAAAATTTTGTATTGGTTCTTATAAATGTCTGAAAGGTTGCTCCTAATAATGTGTGGCCGGACTTGGACAAGGAACATAAATTTGGTATGACAGAAAAGGAGATAAAATCTTGGGTTAAATTGTTCAACAAGTTTCACTGTGTTGGCAATAGATCTAAGGAATCTGTGCTGAATATAATACTTATATCGACCACTGTCTTTCCAAGTATTGGCAAGTAGCCAATATAATTCGCCATCTACTTGGCTCTAGGAGACCTCGAATATGACTTTAATATGATTTGAACAATTTTTGTTGTGAGTTGGGAAAGGTGGACTTGCATTTTTATATAATTACTTCCTTCTCTTTCTCTCAGAAATAACCTATTTTTCAGTTCAATAAAGAGTTGAGAATGGCACAACAGTTGAGTCGATGATATAAATGACCATTTCCCTGAAATAGCACAAGTTTACAAGGAAAAATTTTCACATTCATAACTAAAAGAAATATCAGAATCACATGCCTGCAACAAGCTGGGAAGAAGTCCTGCATATAAAGCCTGTATTCCTCCTTGCTGAACTATCTTAGAACAGGTTGCAAAGGCACTCATTCTAGTTGCCTGAACTTGCATTTGAAGCTGCCTCCTGATTACTTCAAATGGGTATGTCACAGCTTCAGCACAAGCACCAGATATAGCACCATAAAGTAAAGTCCTAATTGGTCCTAGCTCCAACTGATCTAGAGCATTCAATTCCTGCCCATGTTCCTTCATGTTCTGAATTCTTTTCCTTCCTTCCGGTGAGTGCAGATAAGCAGTTTTTAGCATATCATATACAGTATAGAAGACTGCACCAGAAGGCGCCATACTTAAAATGGAGGGTAGTAAGCCCTTGTAAAGAGAAAAGAACCCTTCAGTTAGGATCATGTGGCGGAAAGCACCAATAACACCACCTAAAGCTTCCCCACCAGGCGCCACTATCTTTGTTCGGATCTGAAAGATACAATGATTACAATAATTTACCAGTTAAAGATGATTACAAGGTAAGAATTATTTACCTTGGTCAAATTCCTATACACACACACACACACACACACACACACACATATATATAAATTGCACTTCCATCTAAATAAAGCTAGGTGGCAGCCTAAGTTTACTTTTGTTCACAAAATGAAGAAGAGTACGCAAATGAGACTTATGCATAAAAGATAGGATGACCGAAGCTTTAATCTAATAGGACGTAGTGAAGCTTGAACCACTTTGAATTGTGTCCTGTTCGAGCAAGCTAATGGCTAGCAAGGTCGAGGGAAACTTCAAGCCTGTTAGGCAACATTCTCGTTTCTTGTTTCTGTTTACTCATTTTTAATAAAGAAAAAAAAATTGCATAGCCCCCAATACCCATAGATGCAAGAATGATAAACCAAGATTTTTATTTATGTTGAAACCAATTGGAAACGGAAAGTACAAGAAACAAAAAACTTGTTTTTAATAAACAAAAAACCAATTGTCAAATGCTTAAATTTTTTAATAAAATTGAAAACGAGAAATAAGAAACATGAACGTTACCAAATAGACCCTTTTCTTTTCTTATCCTTTTTCAACAAAAAATAAAGATGCTGAAATTTAAACGCCATATACTGAAGGACACTAGATGATTCTCATAGTTAAACTATATTTGAATGTCCAGTGGTAGTGGGCAGGGTTGTAACTTATGAATATTCATATTGCATTCTACATACCCCCAAATACTTCTCAGATGCCTTCTAAGAATGCCTACAGAGCTTTTCATAATATATTTGATAACACGGCACCAAGATTACCCATAGGCAGGGTGTGTTATTAGAGGCCTAAGTCATTTCATCGTGTAGGATTCTTCAATCTTTGGAGCACAGAGCACCTTTTTACTTTCACTCTTTCTTCTCATTATCAACCTCAAAAATTAATTTTCCTTTAACCATACTTCAAAGCAGGAAGAGTCTCTTAGGGATAGATCTTAAGTAAAGAGAAAAAAGGAAAAAAAAGGAAGAAAAAAACATTGGGGAAAGAGAAGCACAAGAAGGTTATGATAAATTACGTACTGTATCAAGGGGTAGGCAGAGTACAGTGGCAGTAATGCCTGCTGCAGCACCAGCAACAAATCTCTCAAAATTTGAAGTATTCTCACGTCCAGAAAATTTAAGCAGTTGTTTTCTGTAAGTATCATAAGCATAAAAGTTCACTGCTTTAAAAGGAGCTGTTCGAAGAATATTGACAAAGTTCCCCTTCCAAAACCCTTTCAAGCCTTGAGAAGCTGCAATTTTCTTGATGAGGTCAAAAAGATTTCTCTGCTCACCACGAACTATATATTCCAACTTTAGCCTCTCAAGTGGCGCAACAAAAGTTCTGATGCAATAAAAGTGTTGTTCATCAATGACATTGGAGATACCAAGAAGCTAGTACAATGTTCCTTAGAAACCGTTCATTCTAAATGCCCCAACCTCCTCAAGATTTAATTATTTGCTCAATCTTAAAAGTGAAAATCTCAGTTCATCACAAGCATACATATAGGTCCTCATACTTAGAAAACATAAACCAAAACATCATCATTTATCTCCATGGGCATGGACTTGGAGTGTAGTAAGTTTGTTGCCTAGTTATAGGGGACAAAACACCACCCACTCCACCGACCAATTTATGCATACGGAATCACGGAAATATTTTTTCTCCTCGTGCTAAAAATTATTATGCACCAGAAGAATCTGAATGTACTATACCATACCGTGTTCGAAAGACATCTGGATAGCATACTCAGAAACAGTCAATCAACCTATGAAAAAGTAACAAAAAAAATCATATTAGATAGAGGAACAAGCAAAGACACACCTGGAAACCATGGCGGCAATCGCACCAGACCAGAGGTGTTTCGTAGTGTTCATAGCGCCTCTTTTCCGTATCGTATGCTTCTCTCGTTTATCGTTCTCGAGAGTCGCAATTGCTCCCTCGCATTTTCCCGCCTTCTTACAGTTCTCATATCCATCAACATGCACCTTCTGTTCCCGAACAAAACTATCGCCTCTCAAACTCACAGACAAGAACCCGCAGTGAGCAATGCGAGGGTTCTTCCGCCACCGCAAAACCCCAAAAAACGCAGGTTCTTGATGGCAAAACGAAGCCGAACCAGAACCAGAACCGGAATCTTGAGTCGAAGAATTCTTCGGCCAAATTGAATTGACGAAGGAAGATTGAAGTGCAGGGTCAGGAAACAAGCCGCCGCTGACGAAGAAGCTCAAATTCGTACTACGGCAAGAGAAAGTGTGAGGATGAGATGGTTCTTGAAAGTGGGAGCTGCAAGAATGAAGCTCAGGTCGCGGCATTTTAACAGCGGAAGAAGGAAGAAGCGTGGATTGAGAATGGCGAGATTGTGGAGAATTTGTAAGACATGGGAATTTGAGAGATTCGATACTCAGAGCTCAATTTTTGCAGTTCTACTTTCCACACCGCGCCAAATGATACCTAGAAAACCAACTTAATCCATTTCTCGAGCGGCTCAATTTTCCCCCCAATCTCTTATTATTATTATTATTATTATTATTTTGTGATAAATAAATAAATAAATTAGAATCGTATAAGGCAGTTGTAGTTGTAATTGTTGTACCTCTGTTGGGTTAATAATTAATATATAGTTAGCAGTGTGTAGTGTCTTCACAGCCATCTTCTTATATTAAAGGGAACAGCTCACTGCAAAAAGAAACAAGAATAATTTCTGCTGCATACCAAGAGTTGTTTTTGTTATACCATAATTATAAAACCCCAACGTTTCTTTTTCTTGAACAAAATATGGCTAATGAATTTCAAACTTGTTTTTACACGATTTATTTTCTAATATATGACTTGTTTTTAGAATAAATTAAGATTATGCCGCATGATAACCTTCACTGATCCATTAATAACATTTTTATAACAATAGGAGAACAAGTCTAACACAAGCCCTGAAGTTGAAATCATATTTTGGCTTCTAAATTCCAAATGCTTGCGACCAATTTATGGATTTAAATATTATTTTGAACCATGTACTTCTAGTTTTAATTTATTTTGGTTCATATATTTTGAAAATGTTCATATTAGTTCTTATATTTTCAAGAATTCATTTTGGTCCAAATACTTTTTAAAAAATGACTATATATTTTAGCTTATACTTGTAAAATTTTAACACAAATTTTATAAACAATAAAAACCTTTTACCACAAATTTATGACTATACATCTCAAAAAAATGACTATATATTTGAGTTTCTACAAGAACCAAAATAGACATACGTTTTGAACGTATGTATACCAAAATGAACTAACATTGAAAACTCAACAACTAAAATAGATGTTTTGAAAATGCAAAGGCAAAAATAAATCAAAATCGAAAGTAAAGAGACCAAAATARTATTCATACAYGACATGACTAAATCACCAATAAACCCAAAAGCTTGAGCGGATAGATTAGGGTACATCTAAATCTTATAAGATATATATAACGCTCTCCTCAATTGAAATTTTGTATAACACATAACCTCCTACTATTATATAATTCTAAATTTGATTAAATCAACAAATCAAATTAAACTCATCGATTATAATAAACTCAATCATTGGTAGGATATCTAACACAGCAGAGCAGATCTATAACTAAGGTTATTGTTGAAATGGTTGGACCAAAAATGGAGCCGACAAAAGGGTTAGTTTGTTGGACCCTGTGGCGGCCTATTTTAGGAGTTACAAGAGAACGTACATATGGTGATGAGGCCTAAGGGTGGGGTTTAGAAATTAAAACAAAAGCAAAGCCAATTCATTTGAGCCTCTCGTTTAAGATTATTTGTGTTGTTCGGTCGCTAGAAAAGTAGATACAAATCATTATTACCTCACATGATTCGGTTGTTAGGCACTCTCTTCTTTTCAAAAACCTAAATATTTATCTACTTCCTACTTAATTTTTTGATTTGATGTATTTCTATTGCATTTAATGGATAATTAAGTTGGTTCTACATCCTATACTTAACAAGAGATCCAATTGACTTTTACACCCTTCTTGTCTCACTTTTATTTAGTTAAAGTTTTGTGCGGGCGAGTCTTTCACTTTCTCGACCTTTCATTTTATTACCTCGATTTTGTTGGCCTAACTCAAGCTTCCTTCCTCTTATTCATCATTGTATTTAAATACAAAATATTTCTTGGATTTGCGGTTCTCTTCCTACCTGCGTATCTACTCTAGTTTGTAGCTCGTTTGGTAAGGATAAACAAGTATTGTCATATTATCGTTCATTCTATCCCAAGTAATGCATGGATTATTTAGTAGTACTTTGACACTACTATCACTGAAATAACACAATTTTAGAGTATTACCACTAATAAAATTGAGCTACAGCTACAGTAATTCTACCATTAAAATTAAAAATACAATTTATTTTGTTATAGATTTCAATAATTGTATGATATTATTTATTTTGAATTTAAGGATGTGATTTTGCCTAGGAATCATATGAAGGCTCTAGCTAACTACTTCTGTAACAAAAATTTCTCTACTTTTAATTAATCAAATGTACAAAATGAAAGGAGGCCACAGTTTGAAAATGCAAACATTGTACCACGTCATGAATTAGAAAAGTGATTAGGGAGATCCATAATATACCAATAGAAATAACAACATGATTTATAATTAGTAGGAGTCATTTTAGACATTTTAAATAAAAATAAAAAATAAATTTCAAATGTGGAAGATGATAATGTGAAAATGTGTGTTTTTTCTCACATCTTCCTTAACACCAATAAACCAAAACTTCAGCCGACAAGACAGTTAGAAAGAACTTTCCCATATTTATAAAAATAAAACACAAATTTGTATATATACACATTGCAAAACCCCCCATGTAATTTAACAACTAACTTTTTTTTTTCTTGGGAGGGAAAAAAGTTGATAATTAATAGTAACATAAA